AGAGATATTAGTTCAGAACCATCTATGACATCTGTTGATATTGCTATGGACTAAATCTTTTGGAGGAAAATGAACATACCATCGGATCTAACTCAGTCACCTTTATTCTCTCAACTTCTATTGGATCTGACAATAAAAAAAGTCCAGGTTTATATAGTATTTCGTCAATTGATTATGCTTTAAATTTGAATGCAGGTATCATATACCTCATATTTAGAATTTGATTATAATGATTAAAGTATTGGCATATTAGAATTTGATTTTTTATTTTTTGCAGTTGATAACAATGGTCAACGGAGGACCAAAGGCCGGATAATTTTGAAGGAATTGTTTGCACTACTTCTGAACGAGCGATTGTAGTGTCTGTAAACTCTGATAGGCAACCAATTGGTAAAAAGGCTCAACTGTTGGCTAGATTTCTAGGCATGCTTGCCTGTAATGGAATGAAATTGCCTATTCATTATGAAACATGGCATAAAGTTCCAATAGAAGTTAAGGTCGATGCTTTAAACTTTATTGAGGTATTAGTATAATTAATTACATATAAAAATATAATTATTTTACATTTTATTTACTTATTCAAACTTTTCTTATTGTATTATTACAGTCAAGATTTGTACTTGAAATAACAACTTCATTTGTGCTTAAGTCATTAGGAAAAAATGGAAAGATTAAAAGCATAATATGAAGAATAAGTATTTCGATCAAAATACTACTATAGAGGCGATAATGAAAAATCTACCCTATAATATGATTAGGTGGCAATATGAATAATTAGTTAGATTTTGGTTCTCAAGAAAAAGTACAGTAGAATGAAATAATGAAAGTGTTTTATGCTTTAAGTTGGTAATATTTGTATTTCTACCATACACGCAATTATTTTTTATGATAGAAAAGAGAACAGATTAGGATTGGTAACAGAAAGTAACAGAAATATACCCACACAAGTGGATCAAAAAGTTTTGTAAGAAAGCAAAAAAAAATAGTAAGTTTATGATTTTAAACTTATTCCAATGAATGAACTTTTTATGTTGGTAAAAGGTAAATATGGAAACAAGCAATTATTATTCTATTTTAATAGTTTTTGTAGTTTCAATACATGATATTAAACTTATCAAAAGTATTGAACTTAGTCAACACGGATGATCTATATGAAATAGTTATTGTTTACATCTATTTAGGTAAAAATACAAATTTGTTGTTATTGTTTTATTTTAACAGTTTGAATAGCTTCAATATTTGATTTAAACTTGTCCGATTGATTAAACTTGATTTCTACGGTTGATATTGGTAAACAAGTTGTCGTTTTATGTTTATTTAGGACTATTTTTGCTTTTAAAAGGCAAAAATATAAATTAAACTTTTGGATGGCTATGAACAGTTTGAATGGCTTCAATCCATGATATTAAACTTGTCAAATAATTGAATTTGGTTTTCATGATCGATATATGTGAAAGGTCAAAATACTTTTATTGTTTGTGTCTGTTTAAGACTATTGTGTTGTTAAGGGGTCAAAATATAAATTTATAGTTATATTTATATTTTAACAATTTAGATAGATTAAATACATGATATTAAAATTATTCAAAATTTTTGAACTTGATTGATAGGCTTGACATGCATGAATAAGTTACGGTTGATATGTATTTAACAATAACATATGTTTTTATATAAGAGATTGAGATGGGTGGTAAAATTGGATGTGTGAAATTTTTTTGTTTAACACACACAAAAAAAGACAAATCTTATATGAATGTCAAAACACAAGAAATTGTGATAATTTGTAACATCTATTTTAATATAAAGTAAATATTTACTCTTTTTAACATATTATCAATTAATTATTAAACCTGATAGTTGTATATGACTAATTTACAAGAGAAAGCGAAAGAGAAAATAACTGTTGAGATTGAAGTAGCATCTAATGGTTCTCTCAATATACAAAAATTGAAAAATCGAATATTCATAGAAGTTGCTAGAAAAGAAAGGCATAGACGGGTCCGAAGCCTTGGATTGGGTTCAACACCATCTATCTACTATAGATATAGCTCTCGATAATTTACATTCTTAACAAGTCAGTCTTCGTGAGACATTTCAATATTGAGAGAGGAGTTGCAAACTATGCAACAACGCTTCCAACAAATAGTAGTAGAAATAGAATAGGAGTGTGCCAAAATTGAGGAATAACGTGCTAGAATAGAGTAAGAGCATGTAAAATTTCAGCAGTTGCATGATTGATTCAATTATCTTATGAATTTTGTGCAACAATAATTTTCAGAAATTGATCTCGATGGTCCACCAACTCAAGTATTATATTTAGTAAATATTTATATTTTTTAATATAAAAAAAGCTTACTATAAAGTATTAAAAATTGTATGGTATTATTCAGGAGGTTTTTGAGTATGTTAGTGACCAAGGTGAAAAAATTTCTTCATCAATTGGTAGCCTTCAAAATCTATGCAGTCATCAATTTTATACATTTTAATTTTTTTGTTAATGTATTAAAATTTTTTGAATGTTATTATACTAATTATTAAACTTTGTGTTAATTAGATACATATTTGAATGTGAATTAAGTTTTTATTAATTTCAGTTTTCGAATTTAAGTTCGTTTTTATTTCATTAACATTTCTTATTAATGAAAATAATAAATATTAACAGAAATTTTTTATTTAAAAAAATAAATTTCTTAATTTCGTGACGTTTGCGTTCAAGAATGCCGTTAAATGAATAATTTAATGGCGTTTGTACCATAAAACGCCACCAAAAGTAGCATTGTTCTTAGCAAAAAATACTGTTAAATTAACAGTATTTTTTTATACAAATGTCGTTAATTTAGCAATGTCTTATCATATAAACGTCACCATAATAGTAGCATATTTTTTATAAAAATGTCATTAAATTAGCGACATATTCAAGATACAAACGTCGTTAAAATAATGATATTTTTCAAATATAAACGCTGCTAATATAACAGCATTTTATAAAAAACGTCATTATTTTCTCCAACGCATGTATAACCGACACTGACTGATGTTTTTCACAAATGCTACAAATCTTTTAACAGTGTTTATAAACGCTGTTGAACGTTTTTAAAAAAAAAAAGCCATTAAAAACTTAAACCTCTGTAGTATTATGGTTATTTTCAAAATTTGAAAAATAACAAAATTTAAAAAAAAAATTTATGTACTTTCAAAAATTTAGCCCTTTACCTTATATTTCCTATACTCCCTCTCTCTCTTCTTCCCTTTTTCTCTCATTCTTTCTCTAAACTCTCCAAAAACACCAATTAAATCTTCACTAGATTTTGAGATTTTCATCAGAATCTAAGTTGATTCACCGAAATCTAATCGAAAGTTCACCAATTTTTGAAAAATAGATGTCAAAAACTGGGAACTTAGTTGAACTCTAGGGATGTTGCCAGAAAATTCAAACGACACTGAAAATTTTCACCAGAATCTGAAAACTTTTCAAAATTTTTTTAAAAAAAAAGTCTATTTTTTTAAAAATAGATCCCCTAAAAATTTTCACAATTTTCGACTACTTTCGTGGATTCTAACTTTTCTGTCACAATATTTTTTTTATTTTTTCTATGGGTCTTCCCTCAAATCAATGTGTGAATTTATATGGCATAGGTAAGAGAGTTTCTGCTAAACCAAGAATCCACCATTGATTAGATTTTTGTATTATCCCAAAACATGAAGTTTATCCTTAACAAATTAAAATCAACTACAATTCTCCCAGCCACGGCAGAATCTTCATTTTTTATTTTTTATTATTTTTTTAACTCTTTTTTTACTGTTATTTTAATACCTAATCTAATAGAAAAATCAAATAAAAAAACAATGAAAAATCAGATAAACAAAAACAAATAAACAATCAACAAATAAAATATAAATAAATAAATATAAAATAATGCATGATTGGATTTAATAGTTTAGATTATATTAAGCCAAGCCCAATTGATTCGGGTTCAGACCCAATAAAGTATCTACACTACTTTTGTTTTGAACCGTTTTTTTTTTTTTTCTTTCCTCTTTTGATTTCAAGGTTTTACCCCTCTAAGTCAACTCCACACAAAAAAAAAAATCAGAAAAGTGAAATACTAACATACAAATAACATAAAAATTTGTATGTTTCCTAACAAAATACAAATAAATTAGTGGGGCTGCTAAATTAAATAAAAAAAAATGTGTTGATTAGTTGTATAATAAATAAAGCATAGAATCAATGTTCTCTATTTGTGCAAGTCTGTTTGTCTAAAAGTTCTGAAACTAATTTATATACATGGGATAAAAAGAGATCAGTGAGTCAAATAATCAAGAAACCAAAATATATAAATATTCGATTTTAAGACACAAATATTTTTTATCTGTTTTTGCTTTTTGTTATCAAAATAATTTTCTTTATTAAGGGAAAGGGTCCCGTAAATGAAAATAAATATGTGATTTTTTATGTCTTTCGTGAAAGTGTGCGAACTGCGAAGGAAATGATTGCATTGTTTATCAAGTATTTGGTTTTTTTTTTTTTATTTGAGGTTATTATGATTTATATTTTAATAATTGAAATTAAAAATTTAATAGTTTATGAACAGATCATCCGTTTATTGGTGTCCGTTTGTTTTGTTAGTTAATAATGCGAATGCAAAATTCTAACTAATAGGACAATGAATATACGAGGATACGAGCAAAACTTACGTACGTGTAGTTTGTTGGGTGCTTTTCCTGAGTTCATCAATAAAGTTTTTCCATATGTTTAAATGGCTTAGTCAGCCTTAACTTTCTCTAACATTTATTTTACCGTCAATTTTTTTTTTTCTTTTCTATGCTACATACACCCATAGATTATGTATTGCGTCGGGTGGCAAATGATGATGAATTTGGAAAAAATGGGAGAAAAGATTTGTGGGGATGACCAAAAACTATGAAGTCTCCGTCATTGGCGTTGGCTTGACTCCGATAGAAGTCTTTGGCGTAAGCTTCACTCCCATAGAAGTCTTTGGCGTAGGCTTCACTCCCATAGAAGTCCTTGCACCACAGTTTAGTGCTTATATATGAATATAAAAGTAGCCGATTGAGAAATAATTGCTGCTAGGACCTATTACCAAAGAAATTAACACTGAAAAATTGGTAGAGAGAAACGACGACGACAAGGAGCATATATTTTACATATAAATGGATAAAGTATTATTAATGGTGGTACTTCAAAATATGTTGCTGCTCTTTGTTTTCGCCATTATTTCTTTTGGGGATTTAATACTTGCCGCTGGGGGAATCAACAATGAGGATGTTGACAGAAGAAAACTGGCCACTGAAAATCCAGGTAAATCATGCACAAGTTTCCTTGAGTTTTTTTTTTTTTTTTTTAAATAATATATGTTGAAGAACGAGTATAAAACTTTGTGACCGCCTGTTGTATAACTTTCTAGATTCCAAACCAGACGGTGAGTTATGATCTATAATTTTTATTTTATTTCATTTTTTAGAGGATATTTTTATTCTCAAAATTAATTATATAAAAAAAAAAACAAAAAACATTATGTAATCTTATTTATTGGACACATGTCGATATCCCAAATCCATATCAACATAGAAAAAACCTGAAATATAGTCCTTTCAATTGAGAGAACATTGTCTGACAACTTTAAGACAAGTGTTGTTATTAAAATTGAATAGTATTTAATTGTATAAAAAAAGTTGTGAAATCTAACTCTCTGAAAAAATTTGAAGGTTTCATAAGCATTGATTGTGGGGTGGAGGATGACTACTTTGATGATGCAACCGGGATATTTTTCAAGTCTGACAAAGATTTCATTAGCAGTGGAGAAAATCACGAGACATTACTAGAATTCTATTTCAACAATAATCAATTTGGGAAGCGATACAAGACCCTTAGAAGTTTCCCACAGGGAAGGAAGAATTGCTACACCCTGAAACTTGAACAAGCTAAGAACAACAGCTACCGAATCAGAGCTTCCTTCTCGTATGGAAATTTCGATGGCAAGAATCAGGCCCCCAAGTTTGACTTGTATATCGGGGTTAATTACTGGACGACTGTGGAATTCAACTTTACTAGTAGGTTCTACGAGGTTATTCACGTTTTTCCTGCAGATACAGAGTATGTTTGTCTTGTGAACACTGGTTCTGGAACTCCTTTGATTTCTTCATTGGAGATTAGACCTTCAAACTATTCGACTTCTGGAACTGGCTCTTCAGCACTGATTAATATGGGGATTTACGACCTGGGTTCCGATGCTGGCCAGCAGGTTGGTGTCAGGTAAGCAGTCTTGTTCCTTAAACAGTTGTATTAGTATTATCTATCCAGAATCCTGCATTGCAACAATCACTTTTCCTGTCAGCAAAAGTTATAAAAACCCATAATCTCCCCATGTAATAGATTTGAAACTAAGAAGGAATGAGTCCAAATCTCAAAGACGACAAGGGCTCGTTCTGGGCTTGGTTGACACCTACTTAACAGTTTAATTGAGCAGAACAAGCAGCCCCCTGCAACATCAGATCATTTTCAAACCTATAGTAGATAACAAGCAACCCTTTTTTATGATCCCCTTTTGCAATTTGATACTTCAAACTGCCTCTGATGGAAAGCAACAAAAGCAATCAAATGATTTGACTATCAGAGAAGTGCAGAAGCAGAAACACCACATAGAATTAGAACTAGAAACATGTCTCAGGTCACAACTGGCAAGCTTGGAGGGAGTTCCCTCTGTCAGTCAACATTTTAAACAGGCTATATCTGTTGGTGTAGGAATTAGCTTCTCTAGGGAAATTAGCAAAATTCAAAGAGAATTTTCACGCTCCAATTTCAATTCCCTAAATAGCAAGCATGGACTTTATTGATACCTGTATCCGAGTGGCAAGGGATTCCTAGAATATGCAATTATGCATCTATTTCATTGAAAATAGGCCTATCAATAATTTTATTGCTGATTCATACATGAATCGCTGCAAGTTAGATCCAATATCAAAGAGTAAAAGCCTTTTATTTAGAAACCCTAGCTTTGGGGGTGCTTTTTTTTGGTCATTTTGCATTCTGAATTGACAGTGTCAAATTTATGGTTCCTTTAGTTCATCTTTCTGTTCATAATAGACATGCATCATTTTTCTACTATGAATGTTTATTCGTCAAGTCAATGAGTATATTGTACTGAGGCCAATGTATCTCAAATAGGTACAAGGATGATATTTATGACCGTGTCTGGTATCCTGCCCAACTTCCAAGCTCTGTTCCATTTAATACCTCATTGGATATTGATATTCAAGGCAGTGGTAATTTGTATAAACTACCAGCTGAGGTGTTGAGAACTGCTGTCCAGCCATCCAATGGCTCCAAGTCCTTGACTTGCTCTTCCTCTTTCAATTCTGATTATGAATACAATGTCTACTTTCACTTTGCTGAACTTGAGGATTTGGGAAATGGTCAACTAAGAGAATTAAGCATAACTTTGAATGCTGTCAAGTACGGACCTGTTACTCTTGAATACTTAAAGCCATTGTCCATAAGTTTCCAGAAGTTGCGGATTGAAGGGAATATTGATTTTACTATTGATTCAACAATTGAGTCTGGCCTTCCTCCAATCCTCAATGCTCTCGAGTTTTACCAACTTCATCAATTCCAACTTTCTCCTACAGACCTATCAGATGGTACATTTTCCTTTTGATATCCTTTATTCAAATGATTCATTTTTCATCTTTTTTTAAGAAAAAAAAATCTTCAATCTGAAAATTTGCTAACCATTGACTTACACATTCCAGATATGAAAACATGTTTAGATCTTAGGGCTAACCGTTCTTGAATTTCTTTGATCATTCTCAATTCAATTAATGCGGTTATGAAACAAACAAAAGGAAGTACCACATTTGCGGAAGGAGGACTAATGTCATTTTTGGCTGACCGATCCCATGGGCTATTTTCTACGTAAGAAAATAGATAATGGTTAGCTATTTGTATAAAGGTGAAGAGTAGTTCCAATGAGGTTCAACTTCTCCGCAACAATCAAGAATGAAATATCATATCACGATTAGAGTGAAGTAATTGAGCTACCACCTTTGCAGAAAGGAAATGTGTTTGGAAATACTAACACATCCTAATTGAAATGCCTTGGACTGCAACTAGACATATGCCAGTCAGTGGCTCAGAACTATCTAAACCTGGAATAATTTTGCAAGTTCTTTTAATGTCATTACAATGTATTTTATCCAAGATATAACTTGAATGTAAGATCACATGAAACCCACGACCTAACAGATGTAAGATAACACCACTTAAAACTCCCCTCAGGTATAGCTCAACAAGAGTTTACACGCGGACAACCTCAGAAGGGGTAACAGACAAGAAGAACAGAACAACCCGGGGATCTTATATCATGTTGAGTATTCAACCTAAAACCAATTTACAATTGGTGAAGAGGCCTAACTTGAATATAAAACCACAGGAAACCCAAGACTTAACAGATATGGAATAACACCATTCAATAACTCCACATAGTTTTCTATATAATTATTAGCTTATTCCAATTTCTTACATTTCTATTCTGAACGATCATAGTTGATGCTGTCATGTCCATCAAGCATACATACAAAATAAACAGAGATGACTGGCAAGGAGACCCATGCCTCCCAAAAGAGTATTCGTGGAGTGGTTTGAGCTGCAGGTTTAACAGTACTCCAAGGATAATCTCACTGTGAGTGCACCTCAAATCATCCAAATAAGTGTTAGGATCATTTGTTCAAAGAGTATTTATAGATTCATTCCAGATTAGAAGAAACTGAAAACAAGTTGATTTTTCCTCATGTAACTTGGAAGCTTGATAGATCGATTTCAGTCTGATGGCTTGTCTCAACAAATACAAAACCATTAGTTGATTGTATTATTTATGATAGTGGTACCTTATTCTCCTTCCTTATTGGTTGATTTTGTGCAGGAACCTGAGTTCAAGTAACTTAACAGGGGAGATATCTCCATCATTGGCTGATCTGCAGGCAATAGAGTCCATGTAAGTACTAAATCTCTAGTGTCTAAGTTACTCTACAGAAGCACCTCCTCCTAGATGGTAGCTGATCCAGCAGCTCTTTTTGCACTTGTTTGACTCTCTAAGTCTGCTGAATCCCTCAATACATTTTTGTTCCTTATTTGCAGATTCTAGTTTTCTGGTTTTAACACCAATAAATTTCAGTAGGAATTGTTATGCTGGTCCATTGAAGTCAATTATGTGATTGACTGATTGGTACACGATAGTATATGCAATCCTATGATGGAATACTTGTTTGTCAATGACATGAAGTAGTAGTAATTTCTATAGGAAAATTATGAAGTATTCACCCCACATTTGACATGGAAACCTTTTTAATTTTTCCTGCAGTGACTTATCATACAATGAATTGACTGGGTCTGTGCCAGAAGTTTTAGCACGACTGCCAAACTTGAAAGTCCTGTAAGTTTTGCTGACTGATATTACTCAGATGTTATTTTGTAGGCTTTGATATAATATATACACATTGTATGTTTAAGCATGATTGGTTAATAATATAAATATCACACTTTCTGTATAGAGATTTATCAGGGAACAAGCTTAAGGGCTCAATTCCCCAGTCTCTCAAGGACAAATCTGATAATGGATCACTGCTTCTAAGGTTCGTTCTTTCCTAGATTATTAAAAAATTTCCAAGTCACGTTGCTGTCAAGTTCCCATGACAATTACCCAATTCAAAATTTTCTTTGTTCCTTTGACACTGCTTATCCTGCATATATATATATATATATATATATATATATATATATATATAGATATAGAAAGAGAGAGAGAGAGAGAGAGAGAGATGATAATTTCTTATCATTTTTAGGTTTAAGATAACTAACCAATTATTTCCTATGTATCATTCTCTTCATGTTTCACATTTCAAAATTACTTCTTATGACATGATTGGATTGTTTTGGCCATATTTTCAGCTAATGCATCTCGAAATTTGTCTGTTCTGCTGAATGGCAGTTTCAGTGAAAATAAAAAATCATGCCGGAAGGATTCATGTGAAGAAAATAACAAGAAGTTTATTGTTCCACTTGTTGCATGCATTTTATCTGTTTTGGCCCTTGTTATCCTCCTAAGCATTCTAGTCATCTTTCACAGAATAAAAAGGAGAAAACAAGCAGGTATTTTCTCTCTTTTCTGTCCACAACTTTTATCTATTTTGTTTATGCCAAGATTTCCCTGATGTAATTTAATTTCCCCACTACATGCATCCATATTCTTAGCACTTGTTTATATTTGTCAAAAACTAATAATTCATGGATGGATATCTATATTCGATGCCTATATTTAACATCTTATCCCCCATCCCCCTCTCTTCAAAAACAAAAAATGATAGGGATGTAAGATATATCCCTGTCTTTGAATATTACAAAGCTGCATCTTGATTAATTTTCCTGTTTTGGCTGGTTGCACCTCGGTATAATGTGTTTTAATTTGTTTGAACTTTAAATAAAAAGCTTATTTGTCCAAAAATAAATAAATAAATAAAGAGGAAAAAAAAGTGGATCTTGATACTCATATGATAGTTTGAATTAATAGTGCTTTCCTAATTGTTGTAGAGGTTGTTAATACTAATGCATCAAATAAGGAAGGGTTATTGAAATCCAAGAATAGACCCTTTACTTACTCTGAGATTGCTAGAGTTACTGATAACTTCAAAAACGAAATTGGAGTGGGAGGATTCGGAAAAGTGTTCCTTGGTCACCTAAATGATGACACTCCAGTCGCTGTGAAGTTGCTTTCTTCATCATCAAAGCAAGGATACAAGGAATTCCAAGCAGAGGTTAGATATAAATGCAGCTAGGCTTTTCAACTATTGACTATGAAAGTTTCGTTTTATGTTGAAATATTTACCGTATGAGACTTGCTGCTAAAGTAAATTCATTCACATAAGATGAAGTACCAATTATTTAAAATAATACAGGCACAACTCTTGATGATTGTTCATCATAAGAACCTTGTTTCTCTAATCGGTTATTGCAAGGACGATGACAACATGGCACTTGTTTATGAGTTCATGTCTAATGGAAACCTGAGGCGGCATTTATCTGGTATGGATGTTATCATCTATATTAAAATTTCTATGCCTAAATTCACTTTGAAAACCCTAATGAAAGAGATGATCTTGATATGTTTTGTTTGCAGAGACAAACAAAACTGTTTTAAATTGGAAACAAAGACTTCAAATTGCGACTGATGCTGCACAAGGTCCAAGATCTCTTTAAAATACTTAATTGTCTACAGTTCTTTTGGCCCATTTGACATTTCCCCCTTTAAAACTGGTTACTCGTGACATGTTCAGGGTTGGACTATCTTCATAATGGCTGTAAGCCCCCCATAGTCCACAGAGATCTGAAAACTTCCAACATCTTATTGACTGAAAGCCTGCAGGCGAAGATAGGTGATTTTGGACTGTCTAGAGTTTTCTCTACGGATAATGCCTCTTACACTTCAACCTGCCCAGCTGGCACAGTGGGATACCTTGACCCTGAGTAAGGACTAAAACTAGTTAGATTACTTGCATTCTATCAGCTTCAATGCTCATTGATCTAAAGCTATATTTCACAAGAGTTCTCAAAAAAAGCAACAGGATTGATATCAAAAACCTAAACAAATATTTTTCCAATGTCATGGTAAATTTATAGTTGTATCTATAAATGCAGTAAACGTCTTATTTACCAGAATAAAAACATTTTTCCTTTTCATGCAGATTTCATGCATCAGGAAACTTAAATAAGAAAAGTGACGTTTACAGCTTTGGGGTAATTCTATTTGAGCTCATCACAGGTCTGCCTGCAATAATAAGAATCAGCGCCGAGGACAGCATAAACTTACTTCAATGGGTGAGTCCTATAATTCAGACAGGAGATATTCGAAATATTGTTGATCCCAGGTTGCAAAATGACTTCAACGTCAATACTGCGTGGAAAGCTGTGGAGATAGCTATGTCATGTGTACTGCCAACTTCAATGCAGAGGCCACACATGAGTCATGTATTTGCAGAACTAAAGGAATGTCTTGCTTTAGAGATAGCTTTTGGAAGAAATGATCAGAGGGTTCAAAACGAGATGACACGCTCAAGCAACTCAATGGAGATGACCCCTTTGGAGATGGAGTCAGATATGTTTCCCATCGCTAGATAGTGGCTCTACATAAACACTTACCTTTTGGACCACAATTTGCTGGAATTCTAATTTCTTAAAACAATTAAAGCGGTGTGGCTAGTGTCTTTACAATTCTTTGCTCATTATTCAAAATCAACTCTTTTATTGGGTAAACCGTAATCGGACATGGTTCCTAGATGTGCCCAGTCTTGTTTTGGTGTACAATAAACCCAACAAATTAAGCAATTAATGTGATTCCGAGTGTGGATTGAGACTTTATCTGACATATATATTGAAGAGGCTAGTCAGCCTCAGGACAACAGTGTGCATCGAACCGAAAGAGGCTTATTGCTTAAACCCCACCCCCACCCCCCCAATTAACGTATGGAAACTCCGGTTCGTTAAGCCCAAATATTAACCTTTAAGTAAACTTAAAATGTAGTCACAGGAAATAGAGTTTCTTTTGGCTGTGTGAGGAAAGAGATTCTTGTCGCATCATAATTGTCTCTAACAGGATCTTAAAGATTCAATCATAAATGTTCAATTATGAAACTCAACACGTATCCAAATAAAATTTTAAATTGAATCAATTTTAGTCAGCTTTCTTACAAATTATTAAAAACGAGATGAAGCCGTAAAATTAGTGTTATTATTGCAAAAGGTTTATGTAGTATTAATTCAATAGATGTAGAATTTGAGAATTTAGATTGGATACTTGGAAATGGGAGTCTTTTAATTTTTCAAACAGGTGATTGGTTAAAGCAATGGTTATGGTTATTAAACCAATAGGGAATCGAAAGAATGAAAGTATTGAGATAGAATAATAATAATGCTAGAAGTTGATTAATTATGTCATTGGAATTTCCCATAACTATGTTAACATGATTAGTTGTTGAATTCATGCCGATTTCTTTCTGCTTGTATTTTTTTTTCCTAGTGAGACATATTACATTAATTCAGGCTCTTAGAAGATTTTGGTTTCCAAGAGCTAGCAATATAGTGATTAGGACATAGATATTTGTTTTCGTAAGATCAAATCTCCTTTAATTGTAAGTTAGGGCTTAGGTGGATTCACTTCCTCAATCTCCATTAATTTCCATTGCATCTTTGATAGTGTTCACATGCCACACAGAGTTCATAGTTAGTTTATATACGTGAAGGACAAGAAGAGGTAGATCTATGTGCATTAGTGAGATATTTATGGGTATTTTCAAATTTTGAAAAATAACAAAATTAAAAAAAAAATTGTGTACCTTCAATTTTTTTTTGAACAGTTTGTTTGTCAACAGAATTGATTAATAGGTCGACTTTCCTTCATTCCTTAAGTAAACAAATCCTCAATATTCCCAAAAAAATTTTAAATCCACCACCAAAACAAGTTGAGATTATTGAAAAGTTTCCTAATATGTGAATGGCAATGATAGGTATATTGAAAATTAATTATTGAATAGATCTCAATTTTGTTTAAAATCTAGAGTTTGATTTTTTTCCAAGACAAAAAAAAAAAAAAAAAAAAGAAAGATATATCAACAGTCATCAGCGGAATCAAATGTGCAAAATTTTTTCACTAGTCAAAATGAGGTAGCTGAGGGTGAAAAATAAAAATCATGTGGCTGTATTATTAAAAACCTTAACAGAGTAATAAAGATGAGAAGCAAGAACTCGAAGAGTTCGAAACAGAATATTCCAAATTCATTGATGCTTGCTTGCTCAGAGAGTAGTTGAAAATCTTGGCAATCTCTAAAACCATTCATGGTGAAATATCCATATTATGATATATCCATCGAACTAGTGAAAACTCAACATGATTGGTTTTCCCATATCCAAAGCTAGTTTTAAATAAATTTAATAATTTTAAATACAATATAGTGATATGATATATATATATATATATAAAATAAAAAAGATATAATTTAAAATTTTTTTTAAAAAATTATATATGAATTTAACAAAAATAAAAAATAGATATTTTGTATTTAATATATCAATATAAATTATAACACAATAATTTTTATGTTTTACTAATATTAAACACTAAATAAATAAATATATGTATATAAATTGTCAAATCTAATTTAATTCAATACAACCATGACAGTCAATTAGTTTAGTAGAATGATTCAAGCAAAGAAAATACTAAATTTGGTGAACAATAGCCAATTTAATTAACCAAGAAAAGTAGAAGCCGAAATCTGAATACCGCCTTCATAGGAAAGAAATTAAGAATCATATTTTTGTGCTGTGTCCTAGTCATCTAATTAAAAGGAGGAGAACTGAGAATTTTATTTCTCTAAAGCAATGACTTAATAAGCAACCAAAAGTTGTGAGGTCAATAAAATATATTTAATTTAAGTAAATCAGATTACCTAATCCATTATACCTTACATTGTTAGTTAGGGATAAAAATACTAAAAATTTAAGAACAGATTTTACTTGTTATGGAAGTTTATTAACCACTTCAAGACATTTCCAAGAAATATTAACATTTTCTTATTTTCTATATTTTTTTTTAATTGATGATTTAATGGTTAAGGAGTTGTTGAAAGCTGAGTTAGAAAATATATCCGATTTGTTACATAGAAAAAAGTTAATAAACATCAAAAGCAATACTCCGAGATATGCAACACTCAAATTAATTAAATGTATAAAATAAAATAAAATAAAACGTAAAACATGTTGCATGCTTGATTTGATTTTTTGTTTTATATCTTATGAATGATGGCATAATCAACTAAACAATCATATGTAAACTACAATTACACAGCGGTTAAAATGTTACTGACATGGTAAGTAAAGTATAACACTATATTATAGATTTTAAAATTGGTCTAAAAGTCTAAACTCTATTTTATCTATCATGTGGAAAGAAATTGTGAAAAAACATTTCTAACTTTGGTCTATAAGCGACACCTACCCAAATTAATAAGCCATGTGATGGGTAACGTTAGTTAAGAAAATAAAATAATACTACATTTCTTTTTCCACTTCAACTAAGTAGTTGCTAAGGCAACATCTATCCATGTAATTTTATCCACGTGAAACGAATTTCTGACATAAAAAACTATTTTCTAAACAAGTAAACTATATGGAAACCATTTTTCTTTTCACATTATGCACATTAATCAATGCTGATACGACTAATTGAATTTTGGGTTTACTCTTTTATCATTTGATTTGATAACATATATATGATTAGGGTTTGAGTGACATATTTAAAGGAAAAACAAGAAAAAATTTGGTGAAAAAAATTGAAATATCAGAATATGAACCACTAACATACAAATCAATAACAAAAAAATTTGTACGTTTCCTAAAAAAAATACAAATAAATATGTGGGACTGCTAAATTAAATTTTTAAAAAATGTGTTGATTAATTACAAATAAAGCATAGAGACAGCGTACTCTATTTGTGCAAACCCGATTTGTCTAAAAGTTCTGAAACTAAATTATATACATGGGATAGAAAAAGATGCGAGAGTCAAATGATTGAAAAACAAAAATATATAAATATTTGATTTTAAAAAAAATATCATGATCTGTTTCTGTTTTTTGTTATCAAAATAAAATCTCTTTATTAAGGGAAAGGCCCATAAATGGAAATAAATATATATGTTTTTATGTTATTTTATATAAATTAATTAAATTTAAATTTAAATTTATAAAAAATATTACTCAATGGGTATGAAATTTAAATTTTAAACTTTGAGGAACTTCAACTTCTTGTAATTAAAATTAGCAAACCTAAAACTTGTTGACGTGGGTAATTAAGAGAACATATCGGCAGTGAAAAATGGCGATGATTGGAGTCATCGTGATGTGGCTTTGAATAAGATAAAAGGGCGGTAAAGACTCTGAAGGGACAAAGTGAAGAAAGGGTTTTGTCATTTTGTGAGACGTGTCCTTCCAATGTGGCTAACGCAGTTTCAATTGAAACGAGGCAGGGACACCTGTATTGGTATGTACGCTGATCAGTAGCTGAGGGCTGACCCATTCTTTATTGGTCCCACGTCTTCCTCTCTCTCTCTTTTCTTTTGGGATTTTTTGGGTTAATTTAACTGATTACTGTTTATATGAATTAGTGCAAGTGAATAAAATTTAGGGATCGAATGGAAAGTGTGTAGTTTGAATTTTAAGAATTTTTTTGTTAATAAATGATTTGTAAATTTAAAAAAATTTTATAAAAAATTTTTCGTAAATATTTTTTTATCAACTAGCGACTTATCTTATCTTGAAAATGAAATAACTTTTTCTATTTTTAAACTTTACGGAGAAAATGTTTTATAAATTGTTGACCTTTCTCTTCATTCACATATTCTTAAAATTTTTCGTGCAATTTATCTGCAAGTTTTTGTCATAATCAAATAATGGTAGGCTGAGGGTCACTTCGAAGGGAGCGTCCTTTCTCAGTCTTGCAAAAACCTTCCCCATTTTCTCTCTATATATTCTATACAACTCTCACTTTTCTCTAGCCTCGTTGTGTGCATTTGAATTATCAAAAAATTTGGGTCACTCTTTTCAGACAATGACAGAATCAAGCCATTCATCATCAGAAGCTGAGAGTTGCAGCAGCAATAATGACTCCAACTCGTCATCCCCCACATCTTCTTTTTCTTCTTCACAAACTCCCGAGAACTTGTCCAGGAAATTCAATCCTGAAGTCCCAGAAGCAGACAGCAAAGCTAAAAGACCAAGAGACACAAGCAGCAAGCACCCAGTTTACAGAGGAGTCAGAATGAGGAGTTGGGGCAAATGGGTGTCTGAAATCCGTGAGCCGCGCAAGAAATCTCGCATTTGGCTTGGTACTTTTGCTACCCCAGATATGGCAGCGCGTGCTCATGATGTAGCTGCTTTAAGCATCAAAGGTGACTCAGCTATTCTCAACTTCCCCGAGCTTTCCGAGTTGCTTCCTCGACCTGTTTCATTAATTCCCCGTGACATCCAAGCCGCTGCAGCTAAAGCTGCTTCAATGGTCAATTTCAATACTCTGACATCGTCTTCTTCATCATCATTTTTAGTATCCGAATCTTCATCTCTGTCAGAGTCCAATGTCTCGGAAGAACCCGAGGAGCTGAGTGAAATTGTTCAGTTACCCAATATCGAAGGGAATTTCGACTCCTTATTTGACCCACTGAACGAGTTTATACTTCTTGACTCGGTTGATGGGTGGATGTATCCACCACAAGATTTCTATGGAGGATTTGCTGATCAGATATGGGCTACAGAGAATTTAATCGCTGGCAACTTTGAAACTTCCATGTGGGAATAATTTGGTGATGGGCTTCTTTTTCACTACTTTTCTTCTTTAGGATTACTGTAATTTTCTTGGGGGAATTTTTCAATTTGCTTTTCTATTTTTGCTAACAGGTCACTTGTCACTTGTAATATAATTTTTGTAATATAAATCATATACAAGTCATAGTTTAGGTTTTCTCTATTTTGACTAACATGTATAAATATGTATACAACTTGAAGAACCTCGATGAGCTTTTTTCTTTTTCAAATTTTATGAATAATTTATGGTTGTTTGTTATTAGCTTTCTTATAATCCTTGAGAATTTTGAATAAAATTGTCTGTCCTCGTTTCTCAACAAGCCTTTTAAATTATTTCCACCTATGTAATTTTATTCACTTATTGAAGGGCAAAACAATATATTTTTCATAAAAATTATTATTTCATACACCTTCAATATATAAATCTAAATATACATAAAGTCTACCTTTTGAATTATTACAATTTTTGAACAAAATTAAATTGGCATTTGTAATCACCCATTTGTACATCATTAAATTTAAGTTTATTTTAAATTTTAAATTTAATTTAATTAATTCATGTAATTACTTTTAAAAATTTATATTTAACAGGTTTAATATTTAAATTGTAATACTTATAATCACTTTATTTTCTATCTATGACTTTTTATTAAGTTTACTTTTTTGGGTACTTAAAATTTAAGTATACTAGAACAGAGTTTTTCTTTTTTTTTTTCTTTAAAATTTAAAATAAATAACTTAACCAATCTTTCAAATATATCATGACAAATTTTATTTATATAAATAATTTATAAAGAGTTTGCAATTAAAATAAGATTAGCATCAACAAGAGAAGTAAATAATGATATTGTTTAGAAACACTGAAAATTATCATTTACTAATTGATTATAATAAAATTAATGAGATCCAGTCATTTCTAGCTATTTTAAATTCTTGATTATACTCTTTGATTTGTGGTCGTCACCCATGGTCTTTTTCATCACTTCTTCCATTGACTTCATTTTTTTTAATTTGTGAACCCAAACAATGAAACAATGTACAAGTGGTAACTACTTACAAAAGAAAAATAAAAAACTGTACGAATTATGTGATTATCTTTATAATTGAAAAAAAGAAAATTGTAAAATGTACCGTTGAAGAAATTTGAAATTTGATAAAAAAAAATTGAATTAAAGAATGACATTTGCAACAAAATGTACCGTTGGAGGAGGGGTTTCTTTTTTTTAACGATCAGTATAGACATCATGTCAAACAAATGAAATAAAATGTTTTTTACGTTGATGTTGAAATGTGGAGAAAAAAAAAATTTGTACAAAACATTTTGATAGACGAAGAAGACGTTTTGTCTTTCTAGTTAGCAATTTATGGATTAGTAGGATTTCCATTGTCCAAACAACAATCACTTTCTAAATATGGGTAATTTGGATTGTTTCCTGGATTTCAGTGAAATTCATGTCATAATCTTTTTCTTGCAACGGTAAAATGAAAAATATTTAATTGATGTAATTTGAAAAAATATATATCACATATAATTATTATATTATAATTAATTAATTATAAATTAAAATTGTATAAAATTCAATATGAAATCGATATTTATAGATGATAGATACTTGTATAATTTTTTGTTTTTAATTAAATAATTATATCATTATATAATAAAAAAATTATAAATAAAATGCAAGAATATGCAACAAATTTTAAACAGAAAACTTATTGCCAGTCGGAACTTTTTTACGCTTTTGAGTGGGAAAACGACCATAGCTACAATTGTACTAGAATCAATTTTTATAGGTAGAGTTCAAATTTTTAAAAATTAATATATTTCATCAAGTTTTAGATTTTAAATTTTTAAATATATGATGTGATCAGATTTGATATTGAATTCTTATTAAATAAGGTGGAATAAGATCATTGATGTTGTTAACAATTGCATAATTTGTTAGTAAAATATTAAATTTTTTATTTTAATTATTAAATTTTAAATTTTGATAAATTTTAAATTTTGATAAATTTAAATAAAAAATTATCGACGCTAAGATCAATGAAATTTTATAATGATTTAAAAATTGATAAACATTATAAATTTGTCGTTAATTTATACAAATTTATTTGACTGAAAATTAAAACAACATTATTTGTTTTTTTCGTTTTTAAAAAAATAAATCGTCAATAATTTCGGGTCCAAATTAGAAATTTAAAACATTAACAAAATTTTAACAACAAATTAATATGAAACCGGCATGCTGTCCAAATTGCCTCCCTTAAAGGTAATAGCAAAGCTATAGTGTTCCAAGAATGATTCTGTTCATGAGAAACAAAGTGGGGAAAGGAGAATAAGAGATATAGCGGCCCTAAAACAACAAGAACAAGAATGTAATAACTTTTTTCGCTGTCTAAACTCTAATGTCTATACACAAAGATGGTCCATGTCGTTTTATCACTTCCCTAAGCCTTCTAACAATGTTATATATGTTAGGTATATCCCATTCACATCTGCTTCAAACATGACTTTGATATTAATTGTTAGACTAAAAGTTTAAATTCAATTATATAATTAAGCAAATTATTCATACAATTGATAATAATTTAATATAATTCAGTACTCAATACGTTTGTTTTTACGAATAAAAAAAAATATTCACTAATTGTAAAGAATTACAAATAAATAATCAAATCAATCTCAACTGATCTTTAACAATCATAATCTAATTTTTAACAATTTCAAACTAACAACATCCTAATTCAAACATTCACACATATATCTATATGGACCCTTTTATTATTCTTTAATACACTCATTGTTGATAGTTTAAAATATGGTACATCCCACATTATATAAAAAGATTTAATTATTTAATTATTGATGAATAAAATTAATTTTTATATAAATTTTATTCATATTTTAAATAATTATGTTTGAAAATAATAATTATCATATGACAAATAGTTATAACTATTTGAATATAAATAGATTATTATTCATAAAGATCATGATTATAGAAAATGTCATAATTATTTAAATAAAAATTTATGTCTATTCATTCATTATAAATAAAATTTTTAATATAACCATTTTCATTACTTTTAATTAAAAAGTTTAAGGTTTTATTGTATCCTAGAGGCACTTAAAAATGTTATTCACACCTTAAAGCTAAAATTCCTTTATATTATTTCTATTCTCTTATTTATTTTAACTAACAATTTAAAGACAATTATAAAATTCATATTTCACATGAGAAAAATACAAGAAAAAGAAATTGACAAAGTTGGTAAAATCGACTCTTGAAACATGTATGAAAAGTTTCAAATATGCAAATGATTTTATGTTTTCATTTGGCATCAAAAGAAAATTGAAAGAGTGTTGCAAATATGTTGATGTTCAGGTATGCAACTAATTCATCATTTTATCATGTTGCAAGAATTCAATTTCTTGATTATTTTACATTGCTTGGGTCAAAATTTATTAATTGATAATTCCAAAAGTTCAATTGGAATGGATTTGAAATCCTGGTGGATAGTAGTGCAAAAGTAATGGATTGGAATTGTTTTGTTTAAAAAATAAATAAATAAAATAAAATTTTATATTGAAATATGTTATATAGTGGTCATAAGTTTAAACCAAATAATGCTATTTTATGCAAAGCAATTATTTGGAATCATGTTTCATGACTTGTTTTGGCATAGTAATCTAAATATGAACATATTAATCACAAAATGATTGTGAAAATACTTGGAATTAAAGTTAAATATACTATAGACTCTTATTGTACATAGGCATATTTGTCATATGAGTAAAATTTGAATTTATTATATATCAAAAAATGTTATAACTAATTAAAAGTGGTAAATATATAATAAAGATATATACTTAGGTTGCACAATGGTGAAAAAAATAAAAATTCTCATAAAATTTTGAAACCAAATTTAGAGGTTTCAATATTCATTAATTTGGAATTGGCCATTGAGCAATTAATATATGCATTGGAAACTCATGGTAACATTTGAGACAGTTAAGTTTTCACTAAAAACCATCACTATAAATGAGATAAAATCAATTGCCAAATTTACATGATTTATTGGTATGACGTGAATTATTATGGTTGGCTTAGAATAGCCATAAGTCAAAACTGATGCCATAATCTTGATCACATTGTGATCATTTTTTGTTATGTATATAATCTAATTCATAGGCTATACAAATTATTTATCATCTATGGTTTTATTAAAAGTTTTGAAATATAGTGAAAATTTTAAAATATATTTACTTTGGAAGTGATAAGTGATTCAAAGATCTTGTGAACATGAAAACTATTATAATAGTAAAAAGAATGATATTTGATCCATTTAGGTGATGGAAATGGTTTTGTTTATGGTAATAAAAATTATTAATAGTGTCCATGATGAAATATATTCATATAAATATTTATGATTTGACATAAAAAGTTTGAAAATGAGACTATAGAAGCATGATAATATTTGAAATCTATTTATTGATGTAAACTCTCATATTGAGTTAAAATATAAAAGTTATGAAACTTTTATGAAAAAAATTAAGATATAGAATATTTGCTAATTATCTTTCACTAAGGGTGGATTTGGAGGCCTCCTACTTTAAAAAAAAAAAAACCACTAAATAGTGAAAAAAATAAATGAAATGGGCAACTTGATTAAAGTTTAAATGATATCTTGATAATTAAATGAGACATTCTTTAGTCAAAGAAAGTATACTTGCACATGGTGGGGGTGATAAGAATAAAAAAAATAAAAATCATCACAATAGTATTGTAAGATTTTAGTATAATTTTATGAGCAAATTATACAAGCTAATCAATTTAGTACACTTATTAAAGTAAAATCATAAAAAAGTCCTTAAAAATCTTAAAATAACTAAAATAGTTTGGTTTATTCATTAAGTTTATCTAATTGTACTAAAAGTATAATTGCATTAAAAATATATAAAAGTATGGAAATAAAATGATTAAAATTTATGAGTATAGAGTTGTGACCGCAACCAATACCTTCTAATTCTTAAAATGACAAGAATGAGGCAACAATGTTTAAACCATATAAATGGTATGTAAAATGAAAATATGAACATATTAGCTTGAAGTGATTATATTATAGATTCAATATCAAGTGGGGGTAATTACCATAAAAGGAAATTGAATTCCAAGATATTTGTTTAGTAGTACTACAAATAAAATAGATTTAAATCCTTACTATTAGACACCAATAATGGAAACCCAACTTTGAATTAGTAACCTCTAATTACAAAATTTAATGGGGTAAAACAA